AATATTATCTTCTGTCATCAATTGACAGATACAAAATTATGACTCAAACTTTTACTAAACTACTTTATCCTAGTCACTGAGGTAATTCAATCCACCCGGTAGCGCTTTTTTCTGTGCCAACGCGTCTACATCTACTCAACTTTGCGATAGTATAAAGAATAGTGAAGTTTTGGATCGTCTGATTATAAACTTTCCGTTTATTTATATTTTCATTTACTAATAAATCACAAATATATTGTAGAAAATGAGAAGCATAAGTTCTCCTGATAGTTTAGAAAATAAAGATAAATGAATTTCTATTGTTAGGAAATAACGCAGTGCCGGATCTTCTTAGCATATAAGTTTTGCGATATCAGTTAGATGCTTACCAATGCTGATTACACAAAGACTTGAAGGTATAGAACGTGACTGATTGGTCTTTCCTGTTGTCATCACTGTTTTTCGACTGGAAAAACCAGGTATAGAAACTTGAAAATAAAGTATTTTCGTACTAAGAGTTGTATTTTCAAAGCTACAATCAAGAAGAATAATATCATTATCATTTGACAATGTAATATATGATGTTCACTATTAAAAAAAAACTAGCATAGTGTTTAATAATATTGATATCGTTATTTTTACTATCGGCAAGAAAATGTGCGAAAAATCTTAAAATATATCCATTCTGCAAAGAAAACGAATTTCTGTTTAGATTTCATTGCTCTAAAATAAATCATTGGTTCTTACGGTATTGGCAATGATCATGGGTTTAATAAGATGTCGATGCCTATGTATTGATAAGTACGACATTATCGCTGATTGTGATCAGATTTTTGTATATAAAAATATGTTCCATCCATTACCTCTATCGGTTATCAATAAACAATCTGTTAAAAACACGTTGGGAATTGCTGCTTGATAACGTTCAAGTGCAATGTGGCGACTAATATGTTAAACTCGACATAAGCTAGAATCAAATTTTTGATTCGTTAATCGGTACCTTGCTTTGTACATCTTGACATGCCACTTGTTTGTCTTGACTACGAAGTGTAGTTGGTATAACATTATTACTTAATCCGAGATATATTTTTGAATGAAAAATAGCAATTATCATTCACATTGAACGGATATTTGAGTCTCGCATTGACTGAAATTTATTAACGACACTTTCAAAATACCTACAACGAAAATATGAAAATTTAAGATAAAACGATATTGTATTAATATACAGACTACTGATTCGAAGACGAATAATGTAATCGTAGTCTTATTTATTTAATTAATATGGATCGTCAAAATCTAAAAATTTTTCATTTTGAAGCAATAAACGCAACTCAATAAAGGTTTCTTTTAGACCATCGATGTCGCTTAGCAGCTGATCCGGTTGATTAATATTATTGCAGCTGAAACGATAAAAACTGATTTGTTGTTTCTACTAGCGATCTATAGAGCAGCGACTACTATCAGGTGTCAAGATTGAACGTTTCACTAAAGTCAGGATGTGCTGATACTTGAGCAATACTTGAGAAAATTGGTCTCTTAATTTACAAATAATATGCGTCCTACATTGAACACATACTGTAAATTAAAAAAAATAAACATGAAACTTTTTAACTACCTACGAAACTTGCTATAACGTTCAATGGGAATGCGAACTGTTGGTATATTCGGTTTTAGTGTAAGCAACAATTGCGACATTGTTTAATGCTGTAATTGGCAACATCCATTTCCATGTTCTTTTGAAAAAGACAAATTTAATGAAACCGAAGGGTTATTAAAACTTACATTGCTACTTCTTTTAATACTAACTTCAGAGTATGCTTCGGAAGGAATGAAATATATATCTTTGAATTTTCTTTAGCTCATAGCTGAAACATTTCATTTGACCATGGATGCATTTCAAACCCTTTTTATTAATGCACTTAAATGATAATATTGATAGGCACACTTTTCATAATTAACTAGTCGCGAATTGTTTTCGATTTCAAATAAGTTTAATTTGCAGGAAACGCACTTCAAGGGTTGCTGCTATGGCACTGTTCACACTTTACGTATGGAAAATAAATTACGCTTTATCTTCTCCCAGCACGTCCAGGGTGTATGACGAAACATGTCCAGACACATGCCAAATAAAACACAAGCTATAGAACATATACAACTAAATTATACATGTATGCATGTGACTAACTAAATATCAATTGTGCCAATATCGATAAAGATGACGATTTTTTCCATTCTGTCCAGCATAATATTAACATGTCCTGCTTTGAATGAAAAAAAAATTAACACTCGACTCTTTTCTTTCGAAAAGCCAACACTTTCTAATGTTCAGAATTAGTATTCGTAAAATAATCTTCCATCTTTTCCCGTCATTATTTTTTCTATTTGATAAGATCATAGCTCATTATGGAGTTTTTAATGTCATATTACAATATTTCAAGTTCTTTTGAACATTAAAATATTCATTTAGTTACAAAAACTAGAAAATGTTAAAGAGTTTCAGAATGACTATGATCATGAATATAGAGCTATTTTATTTGAATGAATTGATAATATTGATTCAAATAGAACAAAATATCATATATGTGATGTTATTCGAAAGACTAAACATATCTGTAATTAGAGTTCAAAAACTCCCGAGTAGTTATTTTGCTTTTCTTCAAGTATTTTTGAAATACTAGAATGAATTACTATTTATATGAATGATGGGTGTTTGATAATTTGAAAAGTCATCAACCTTCTATGTTGATATTCTTGTCAAGTCTTGACAACATCCAAATGTGTCGATAGTGAGGTGAATATACTGAAGTTTGACGTGATTTCAAATAGTACCAGTCATATATGCACACATACACACTATGTGATTTTTGGTCTAAAAAGTGGGTCCGAGTCATTTGGCCGACACCTCACTTGACCGACACCATTTCGCCGACAAATTGTTTGGCCGACATGTACACTTCACCGACAACTCATTTGGCCGACAAATATTTGAAGTAAAATAAAATGAAATTTCTTGAAAATATTGCGTCAGAAAATCTTTTTATCAAAAGTCACATTTATTTACAATGAAAGATTATGGGCAATGCCCCGAAGAAAATCGAACTTATCTCACGGGAAACAGTTTGTTAGCGGGAGACTTGTTTTAACTGATAAAAAATCGTCGTCTGATTTTATTTTGAAAAATGTTCACTATTTATAGATGAATGAGTGGGAAAAATCCACGCAATATTTTCAAGAAATTTCAATTTTTTTGATCTCAAATATTTGTCGGCCAAATGAGTTGTCGGCGAAGTGTACATGTCGGCCAAACAATTTGTCGGCGAAGTGGTGTCGGTTAAGTGATGAGTCGGCCAAGTGATTGTCGGCCAAATGAACGCGACCCCTAAAAAGTAGATATTATAACAAGTATCGTAAGATACAATGTACGAAAGACTCGAACTTTTTCTTAAAAATACTGTGAATAGATATCCAAAGTACCACTTGAATATCTTCCGTGCTGAAGTTTATCGATCCATCAAGAAAAAAGTCAGTGACCATTTATGTAATCTGATATGCGCGCTCCTTAGTTTCGCTATACCGCGTTATTATCGCTTCATGACTTTATGTTTTTCTGAAAATAAATGGTGAAAACGATATGTTTAATTGTTGTTTAGACCTATGATACTAAATGTACGATTTTGGGGTAAACTCGCATACATCAAGTTAAACAGTATGTCGTGACTTGTTTTTTTTTTATAGAAAATGATTTCTTGGATATTTTAGTTATTTGTCAGATTACATTTTTATAGAGTAATGTGAACTTCTGCTAAGTTTAGCGGGTAGCTTCGTGAAAAGCAACGAATCTATACTTTTAGAAAAGTCTAGGTAGAAATATTCTACTTGAGGTAGCACATGGCTCATGCTTGAAAGAGTATTAAAGTAACTCTTTGTTATTCATCTTTGTCATAGCATCATTTTTATGCACATTTAATAGTTTTTACTAGAAGCAAATTTTGAAAAATATCAATATCTTTGAGAAACTCTAAAAGAATGTCCGTTTCATCGTCGGAAGTGCCATTTTTTTTCATTTTCATTATCATTCTCTGTAGAAAACAACCATTAAAATAATGTAAACAAAATTTGTCCTTGGTTGTTATTCGAAAAGTGAAGAATACAAAAGAATGAAACATGAAAAAGAAACTAACTAGAATTATCTGAAGTTGAGCGACTCTTCTACATCCGATTAGATAGGTGTAACGCAGCAATCGGTGTCAGGATAAGGATGTCGCTAAATAACGGTAGTTTTACCATTATTTTAAATTATATCAACAAAAAACAGTAATCACAACGAAGTAAAAATTGCAATAGCGAGGTTCAACGACCTCTGTTGAGGAAAGAATATAAAACATGGCAAGATTCTGGTTTCTCTTTTTTTACTTTCTAAATGTTTCAGTTTTATTATTGTAATACCTATCTGTATGTTCTTTGCCCTAAGAGAAGAGTAGAACAGAGCAAAGCAAAATAAGTTCTAATAAAACAAAAAAAAAAAAGAAAGAGAACGATAGAGTTTTTTCTGCTTCTCTCGATAGAACGTATATACGTTCTTTGGATGGCGAACATACAATGTGGATATGGTCCGATTCTGGGATGGTCACGTCTCGCCACGATTTATGACTCATCAGTTTGGGTAGAATGTTTAAAAATGATGCTGATCTCATGATCATAGCCAACTGATGTCCTGATTGTCGTAAGTATATAAAAATATGATAATTCGAAAGCAATTTCTATTTTCTATTCACTGATAGTAGACACAGAGAAACATTATTGCCGTCTTTCCTGAAACTCCAATGTTATAATTCTTTTTTTTTCTTTCTTTTGGTATGATCTCGCTTTTCTTCTACTCACTACATGTTGATCATTAATATTAATAAGAAATGATATTGATTCATGGGTATATTAATCATTGTCAACTTTTTCTTTAGCATCGTCATTCGCCACCTAAACATTACCGAGAGAACAACATGATCGATACTATTTTTTCAATGGTAACTATATTACATTTGCATCTATTGAATGAATATATGGTTGCTATTCTTTTTTTTAAAGGTTAATGAAGATATGAAAATGGACAAGAATAATTATAAATATAATACTGAAATCTTGTCTGATCATAAAGATGATCTTCAATGTGAAGAATTTGAAGAAACACCTCTTTATGCTGCTGTTCTTACCTATATTAGTTATGCTGTTCTTTGTTTATTTGGTTGGCTACGAGATTTTATGCGACAATCAAATATTGAAAAGAAACGTGGTGCTGTTGATCCTAATGCTTCATTGGTATGTATATTTGAATTAGTCTTTTACTATTTAGTTATGTTTTTTTTCTTGTCTTCTAGGGTTTTGTTCCACTTTATCAAAGTTATGAGTCATTTTATACAAGAAATATGTACACTCGTGTTCGAGATATTTTTAACCGTCCAATTACAAGTGTACCTGGTCCACAATTTCAATTAGCAGAACGTCTCTCAGATGATTGTAATTGGACATACAGGTAGTCTTACAAATATATATATATATATATATATACTATTTTCAAATAGTTATTTTTTCAAGATTTACAGGCAAAACAATTAGTGCAATTAATTTGGGTTCATATAATTATTTGGGTTTTGCTGAAAGAACTGGTTCATGTGCGACAGATGCGATAAATGCAATTAAATCACATTCTATTGCAACTTGTAGTACCAATTCTGAAATAGGTGAGAAATTGATTTGTTTCACCAAGTGAAAGAGATATCGATTACATATAGCTTTTTCCTTTCTTTTCTGGCCTTGATCATGATGATAATGTCATGTATGAGTACATTTATCGTTTCTGTTAATTAGTAACTACTTCAGAATTTTGTTGATTCAATATATTCATAACTTGAATAATTGAAAACAATCGTTGTTTTCTTTTGTTTATAGGTACTCAACATTATCATGTTGAACTTGAACAACTTCTTGCTAAATTTCTTGGCGTTGAAAGTTGTATTGTCTTTGGCATGGTTCGTTTATTCTTTTCAAATAACAAAAATAAAAGAACATTTTCTATGTATATATATATTTATGTAGGGCTTTGCAACCAATGCATTAAATCTTCCAGTATTAGCATCGAAAGTAAGATTCATAACACTAAAAACAGTTTTCGTTATATTATTATTCTTTAGGGAGATTTAATTTTAAGTGATGAATTGAATCATGTTTCGCTGATATTAGGTATACGTTTATCAGGTGCTTGTTATCAAACATTTGCACATAATGGTAAAATTATTTGTTTTGATTTAATAAGTTTAATATTAATTCAAATCAAAATAGATATGAATGATTTGGAAAAAAAATTACGTACTGCTATTGTGCAAGGTCATCCACGTACAAATAGACCATGGAAAAAAATAGTGATTGCAGTCGAAGGTGTATATAGGTTAGTATTGTTTAAGAAAATTTCTTAATTTTTTTTACGATTTTATATTTAGTATGGAAGGATCTATTTGTCGATTACCACAATTAATTGAACTTAAAAAGAAATATAAAGCATATTTATATATGGATGAAGCACATTCTATTGGTGCAATGGGCAAAATTGGTCGCGGTATCGTGGATTATTTTAATGTTGATGCAAATGATGTTGATATTTTAATGGGAACATTTACAAAAAGTTTTGGATCAGCAGGTGGCTACATTGCCGGAACGAAGGTAGATACATTAAATAATTTTTCGACAGAAATTATACTATTAAGACTTAAGGACTCCACCTTCACCGAAAATCTATTTTTTCCGAAAAAAAATCGAAGGTGAGTTTTTAGCATAGAAAGATACTGCAAGTTTTTTTCTCTATATATAGTTTCTCGAAAAAAGGTCAAATGTTAACAGGCTCTCGAAAGAAATTCCGACCCTACTACGATATTTTCCGAGAAATTTTCGTGACTTTTTGAAAGCTTTTTAGCTTTAGGAAAATTACTTTTTTATTTGTATGAGCATTGAATAAACGTTCTTATTAAGTTAAAGCACAGCAGATGATATTAACTAATATTATCTCGTACGAGCTCTAGAAAAATTTCACTTAAAAATATTCTCTTTATGCCATTTCAATATGTTTTTTTTCTAGATTTGAATGAAAAAATCTATGTCTAAGTTTATCTGCCGATTTTCTCATAATACGGCCTTCAAGATCAGAAAATTGTGTAACACTTCCTACTCAGTTTAAGATGTAACAAATATTTTTACAGTTGATTTCTGTATTGAGGAAAGTGAGATATTGTATTTTGAAGTGAAATTTTGTTGCCTATTGTAACATCAGATGTACTGGAATGATCATAACGAATGAATGGAAGCGAATTTCGAAATTCTGTTTCAATAGAAACTGCATACGGGTATTGGTTTTAATTTGAAAGAACTCCGAGCTTTTTATACCTTGTAAGAACAAACCTATAGAGATTCTGATAAAGATCATAAATGGACTATAAATAAGTCGAAAGTTCAGTCGAGTTTGACGTATCAGACTGAAACTTTTATCAGAAGTATTTCTCGCTAGAGCCACTCATTCCTGAACATTATTTAGAATTGAATATAGGAGAATAGCTTCAATTATATTGACCTACAGAAAACTCTGTTACTCATCTAACACAAATTATTTATTCTGAAATCTTCCAATCCTTAAATGAACTATTTGAACTCACCATATTGTTCAATGATATACAATAGATAAGTAGTATAGAAATGTTTTTTTCAATCATTATGTGTATTTTAACGTATTGAAGCATTTGTTTTGTCTATATGCAACATAATTCATATAGAATTATGAAATAAAGACTAGATTATAATGGCAAGATTTATGTAAATATGATCTCTATTCAAGCATCTTTTCCAATCAGAAATTTATTTATTTTGAAATGCTGATAAATAGTGATATAGATTTACAGACAATATGACATTTTCCTATGTCTCACAATCGAATATATTTCATATAACTTATGCTCTAGTTTTACTTAAACCAATCAATACATGATAGACAGACAAGAAGTTCGTAGAAGAAAAAACAACTGTAAATTTTCAAGAGTTGTATATGCTGACGAAGTACATCGATTTTCTTCTAGGACAAAAAGCTGCAATCATTAAAGGTATTTTTGTTTAAAAACCAGTTCAAATTTCTGTATACGATAGAACAACATGCTCAATTTGAAACAGTATACAGAGGATAGACTTCAAATGAGCTCAATAACTATCGAACAAATGCCTTTCTCTTATTGACTCTATAATGAAAACATAAACGTTTGATATTTCTTTAGTCTCTCGTCGATCATATTCGTGTTCATTCTCATGCGAATACATATGCATCAAGCATGTCAGCACCTATTGTTCAACAAATAATATCTTCTCTTGATCTTCTTAATGGTCCAGAAGGTAAAAAATATGTAGTATAAGCAAGTCAATATAAATCCATTTCATGTATAGGCAAAAAACGTATTTGTCAATTAGCTGATAATACGCGTTATTTTCGACAAAAATTAGTCAATATGGGTTTTATTGTTTATGGTAATAACAATTCGCCTGTTGTTCCAATGTTACTTTATTTGCCTGCACAAGTTACTTGTTTTAATCGAGAAATGTTACGTCGTGGTATTGCTGTTGTTACTGTTGGATTTCCTGCAACAAAATTATTAGAAGCTCGTGTACGTTTTTGTATATCAGCTGCACATACACGTCAAATGCTTGATACTGTACGTTAAGTTTTGTTGTTTTGTTTTTTTTTCTTATTCTAATTATGTTTATTATAGGCTTTATCAGCTATTGATGAAGTCGGCACTGACATATCATTACGTTATTCAACGCGACATCAACATCGACGTTTAAGAGATACTTGAATTGAAAAATATTTTCAGATATGATATAAACTTGTTTTTGTGTTCCTTTTTATTCCACTGAATGAAAATAACATTCATCTATTAATAGGTCTCAGTATAAAATTATTCTCGCTTTTATTAATTACTTTTTGTCGTTGTTCTTTTTACATCTTTTTGATTATCTAGTAATGATCATGAGATTTATCTTCAGTTAGTTTTTTACTTCATTTATCAGTCGTTAATATGAGTTATTAATTTGAACTTTTATATACTAATTCTGCTTGTTTATATGCTGCCTTGGTATGTTTTTCTTCTTCTTAGTTTCTCGTATTGTAATATGTGTTCACAATCTGTTCAATACATTGTATATATTGCTGTTTTCTACTTTCACTCATTCTTTAGGATAATAAATAAAAGTCGAATAATAACTACTTCTATTTGTTTTTCATTACATATAAATAATATTTATTATACTAAGTTATCTTTTCAATTTCAAAATATTGTAATATGACAGTTTTCTTACTTTTATTAAGAGAATAGAATGAGAGAAATACTTCTTAAATTCGCATTAACAATTTCATTGATCTATTCAAAGCAAAGATTTTCAGATCACAATGATATACTGTTCCTTCACGAAGCGATGTACAAGTTTTAAGCAGCGGGATATCACAAGGCTTGAAGACTTTTTCGTCTCTTGATCATATTGTCGTTTTTTAAGCACATACTCATATCTATAAAAATGAGTGATTTTTTATTAGTGTTTTGTATTTTGAATGATCCATGTATATGTATGCATATGTATATATATCATTTGGTTTATTTGACATTAGGCGCATTAAATAGTAGTTAGGACATATCTAGGACGAAGAAAACAAAATGGGAATACATTCGTAAACAACTGTGTTGAGTCATATACGAGTGTATTTTGACGGTTCACAGAGTTTAGTATTACGAGTGCATATTTTCGTGATTGTATACGAAGCAATAGAATCATATATATGAAGAAATATAGAGTAAAACTGACCCCATATGCAATCATCGTGTACAAATATAGCAAGTACTCGTTTTTGTCTCCATAAATCATCGTATTTCTTTGTATGCATTCGTTTACTTTAATTCTTTGAAAAATTTGCAAAAAAAAAGATTGTCTCTCTCAAAAAATATTTGCCACAAGATGGAATCATGCACTAGCAAAGTGACTCCTTGATTGACTCGCTAATGTCAGACTCGTGGTCTAACAGTTATAATGCACTGCTATTACATGTACTTCGATCTCTTTGTTCTTATCCTTTTCCTTTGATCATATCTATGGTTGTCTGATATCTTTTAAATACTATTATTTCAGTTGGTTGATCTCTATTCTTTGACATTAATTGCCTTTAGCTGCCTCTGCTGTTTGTTCTTATCATTCGTATATATAAGCGCATTGTATTTTTATTGTGAGTGTAACAGAGGCAAAAAAATATTGTAAGTGAGTTTCGAACAAACTCAAGTGGTGCATTTTTTCTCTATTATTCATTGAATATCAGCTAAAGAGTTTGTGTTCGAAGCATCAAGTGTCACCTACTATTAGATGGATTGCATCGAGGAGAATCAAATGGAGTATAAAAAATATGGTCGTTTAGTATCATGCAAATGACCTAAAATGCTCAAAGCATTTGTTTACCTAACTTGTTATCATAGTCGTTTCAGAGAGCTTGGACAATTCCTTAATCATCTGTGAGCGAAATAATTTCTGATGCGCCATTCTACAAAACAAATACAAACAATGTTTCTTGAGCAGAAAAACATCTTTTTCGACTCGAAGAAAGCATTCAAAAGCCAAACATTTTTTTGATACACCCAGGCACTTCTTTCGTCCTTTAGTCTACTTAAAATTTCTTTATTCCATAACCATTTCTGGAAAAAAGATCGCTCAATATTCATCTACATAAAACGCAATGATTTCTAGTGTAGACTTCATAGGTTGTGTTAAAATGATATTAACACATTTTGTCATTCGTTTACTTATACCGAACAACTCGACATTTATTCATCATCAGTTACTGATCTACTATAACTTTTCAATAGAATGAAGAAAACATTAATAGGTACAGTAATTAAACAATCACACAAAGTCAATGATGAACAATTTATAATATGTAAATGGATCGAACGAAATACCGAACTGCAAAATTTTCACTACATATGTGATCATTGAAATTCTGTCAGGTTCTGGTATAGAACACATCTGTGTGTGAGACATTGCATATATTAATTTTTCTTTTTGATGTGTTTATAACGTTCCTTTTGTAAGAGAAGACAAATATTTGAACAAGCAGCTTATTGATTCATACATGCTACGATTATTTTGATTTTGCATGAACGTCATACTCGATTATCTTCGGAGCAAAAATATCAAAAGTGTACAAAAGTGATTGAAACTCTAGAGTAATGTTCTGTGATATAAAAAGTATGGTACTATTCATTAATAAAAAGACAAATTTTCGACTTTGTTTAATAAATAATTGAGTTAATAAACGCTTAACCAAATTAGTCAAACCAATATCTGGACATTTCTTATAAGACGCTCTTCCATACTGCTAAGTTCGATGTACCTGAAAAAAAAGCACTACCGATAGATAAGATATAGCGCTTTCTTTTATTTCTTCTTGACAAGAAGATTTTATATCGTCAAAATATATGTTGTTTTTTTTTTTGTTTTTTGATGAAAGTTTTTTGTATGACTTGTTCTATTCGTGTGCACATATCGACATTTTCGGCTTATCATCGTTGTTATTAGAGAAATAATTATTTGCATATATAACACGATATTCAATTCTATCTCTAACATAAAAGTGAACAGATATAATGAGTACAGTCTTATTTTTTTTGTACATTCGCTCATCTTGCTTATTAACAAAAGAAAAAGTATTACGGCACACCAAGTATGGAATTATAATTCGAACAAATCGTTATTTACTTAATTTGATTCGTTTTCGATGAATCGATCTCTCTCCTCATCTATGACGCGTTCAGTATCGTCTCTCTCAACAGACATGTTTCGACTAATTGCATCTCTTCGTCCCAACTGGTCTCCATTCAATACTCATTTGCGTCAATTCACTGATGGTATCATCAATACAATTTTTGATCTTTTTGATAATTCAGATCCGTCAGAAGCACTAGTTGTCAAGATATTTGGATTAAAAACAGAAGAATTCATTGATCGTGATCTCGAGATAGACACTTTATGTATGCTTTCGCAATATAAACTTGCTCAACCCGTTCTTCTTCAATTCACCAATGAAATAATCCACGAAGTTGCTTCCAGTGAAATTTGTTCAAGAGATGACATTAGAAACATGAGGATTGCTTCACTCATTGCTTGTCAAATGACCAAAATTCACTCGTTGTCAATCGAAAATATGAATCAAAAGCCATGTCTCGTTCCATTAATGCGAAAATTTTCACGTCAATTGAAAAGGACAATGATTGACTAGAAGGTAAATAAATATAACTAAAGAGAAAGATGCATTGCACAATGTGAAAGGCTTTGGCAGATGGTGTCGTCAATAATTCTTGAAACAGACCTTATTGAAATCGTCTTTAACACGAATATTTTCTAGGATTGGTCTGTTTGTTATATACTTGAACTCTCGTTCATCTGACGTTGATTGGATAGAACAAGACGTATTACCTCGACTTATTCCTAATCCTCAATATGGCATTGTTTTGGTTCTATGTCATAGCGATGTTCTCTGTAAAAATGTTCTCTACGATTCATTATCAGATTCAGTTTCGTTCATCGATTTCGAATATTCTGCAATCAACTTTGCTCTATTTGACGTGGCTAACCATTTTGTTGAATATGCAGGTGTTGATTAAATCGATTTCGACCGATATCCAACGAGAGATGAGCAAAATAATTGGCTTAAAATTTATTTCGGAACAGGAGGCTTGAAATTTGACGATCAAGAAAAGATATGTCATCTCATCGATCAGTTTTATGCCTTATCTCATTTTTGCTATGGACTTTGGGGACTCGTTCAAGTTTGTTACGCTAAACTTGACCATGACTATGGCTCCTATGCACGACGTCGGCTCAACAGATTCAGAGAACTTGAATCACTTTTGTTGAACTCATCATAACAGGAATGATTTTTCATAGAAGACGAAAGTTGAATAATTGAAATAAAATAGAAGAAGTTTTATAAAAAAAAAAATACTCATCCAGTTAAGTTTTTGGCAATGAGTAACTCATATTCACATTAACCAAGTGTCAAATGTAAAACATGTTTATGTCACCATGATACATATTGAAAATTTTACAAATCTTTGAAATGATCATTTTATTCAGAAAGGTAATCAGCAAACACTACCCATATTCATTGTCGGATACCATCAACAAATAATTTTACAGCACTTTCGGAATTTATTCTATAGCTCTTCACTTATTGGAAGGCTCCAGCTTTCTTACATAATAAGTTGAAACTGCAACCGTCGTTCACGTGAACACATGTTAATATATTAAAATGTCATCCTGATGATACTATGTGAAAAATAAAAGCAGATGCATCTATGAATGTGGATGTTAGGTGTGAAGGTTTGACCTTTTAGTCACCAACACCCACATTCTCAACTTGCTGCTATATCTCCGAATTTTCAAGTTCGAATGGAAGAAAAATTGTGCTAATATCGTCATGCACAACAGAATTCAAATTATAACTGTATTGATTTTAGTTTTTCTTTGATTTGATGGAAGTATAGAATCGCTAATTCATAGTTCTGCGGGGAATAGTTCTTCATGAGTAGGATCATTAATAGTGCGCTGAGCTTTTTCAAACATTGCTGTGCTGATAATTGTTTGGCTTATGATATCATCTCCATAGTTAGAATTCGGTCAACATATCTCAACATACCGCTCGATGCCAATAATCACTTCTTGTATTGTAATACTTATAGAATTCAGGTTTGCATCTTAGTATGTTCGTGCCAAAAATGATATTCACTGATAAGTAGATAATTTCTCTCATGACAGATTTATGATGGATAGCAAAATAGTGTACTGTATATTCATTTTCACTCTTGCATTCGTTGCATGTTCAAATAACTTGATAAGTACTGAAGTACATTCTAGATCGAACTGAAAGTATATTGAATAATTTGTCAACTTTGTTGTTGAGTTCTGAAAAACTCGGTCAAATCATTTTTTACAACATTGGCAACGCGAGCACTTAACATTAGTTACTCATTTCACACTAAGTTCTCTGAATAGAGTTGCTTCACCAAGTAATCAATTCAAGGTAAATTCTTGTATTGCGTTTACGAGGAACTGAATTAAGCATCTTTAGAACGCAAAGAAATACTAAAATGATAGCTTTTAC